GACAGAGGTGACGTCCGGGTTTTAACGCTGCGGCCTTCTCTTGAAACCTAGCCAAGTATCAAATGTGTAATTAAACAGTTCATCTTAGCTTTGAATGGCGTAAGTGAATCAATTAGCGATATATTATTATAAACACCAAAATGCACATCTAAATACCTTCTAAGTGTACCTACGTCAAAATACATCATTTGATGCACTTTCAATTAATTATCTGCTATTCAGACTCGTTTATCATTCAATATATCACTTTTATAACATATCTGTCAAATTAATATTGATATGTTCTTTTACATTATCACAAATACACTTACCAACGAATCATTTGAATAATAGAGATCAGTTTAATAACAAGTTCAGGTATTTCGAAACATAATTTAAAGTAAAATAATAGTATTTAATCGATTTTCTGCTTTACCACGATAAGGAAATTAAGGTCTACTTCAGGAAAATACGTTTTAGAAAACAACGAAATATAATTACAGTGACAAAAGATGTTTTTTCTTTCAAAATTAACGATCCGTTAAGTTACAAAGCTTTATTGATCCAAAGAGGTTCAATATTGCATCAACAGTGAACAGATGCAAATTAAAATTACCAACATTTACTCATTGAGAATTAGTATGAATCATCTGTATTGATGAATGCGTATATGAATCATCTTTCCATGTCGTATATGTGGAATCATTAGATTTATTGACCATTATTGGAACGCAATAAGACTTGTGACAGCACATTAAAACGAATAAAACATAAAATATAAAAAACAGAATCGATTAGTTGCATACTTGAAGAAATGTCAATTTCATATAAGAGGACTGTATACATGCATGCATGCGTTCTACAGAGAAAATTTGAATTTGCTAAATCATTTTCAAATCTATTTCTAATATTTTTCAAAGAATTAAAAATAATTCGTAATGAAAAATGTTAAATATCCACCAGTACCAGACACCCCGAGATAGGACACGAATCCACGACCTTTCGCTATCCGGGCAGTTCTATTTTTTTTATCAGTTCTAACTACTAAGCTACCCGAGACCAAACACGACTGACGAATTTTTCAAGCACTTGTTACTTTTCGCTACTACTGAGCATATTTTCATCAATGTTCAGACAATCTACCCTAACAGCCAAAATATTTTTTAACTTTCGATTAAGATAAACATTTGTTCTAATTATTATATTTGATCAATTTTGCTTTCACAATATTCGTAACGAATTGGTAAATTCTTAATGAAAAATGTTTAAAAATCTTAGGGTTCCATTCCATCTCGGGGTGCCTGGGCTGGGGAATTTTTTGAGAATATTTATTTACCAGTACCTACAGCACTGTGAATGCTCAATTGATAAAATAAAATAGATATTTTTTTATATGTATATATTCATAAAATGCTTGATCAATCGGTTTTTATGTCAGCACAAATTATTGTCGCCAGGTTTTCATTCGTTCTGGAAAACCCATCCCATTTAAAATAAAGAATTAAAACGGGTAAGAGCAAAAGTAAATAGCATGACAAAATCTCGCATTGAAAGCTAGAGTACTGAATGCACACGCCTCGTGACCTCGAACTTGTGACCCCGCCTACAATGCGAACAATTGTAATGTAAATACGCACCTAACTCGCCTGGTACCAGCCAATAAGATGGTACCATTTATTATTGCAACCAAACGGCATAATCTAAACCATGAATGTTTTCCACGCTTCTAAATTTTTATACTAAAACTATTATATTTTTATAAAAAAATATTTAATTTTTTATAAAAATAAATTATCGAGAGTGAATTATATCGTTGGTTGGGTCGTTTGTTGGTTGAAATATTGATGCAATCGCTCGCGAATTGATCGAAAAGCATTAACTTTCAGCAAAAAAACAGCCTAAAAAGTATAATACAAAGAAAATTGTACTCATACACAACACACAACGCTGCCTATCTTGGTAAAGGGAATAAAGATTTTCAATACATTTCATATTTCAAATTTGTGCTCTGAATTTCCACTTCCACCTAACCCAAAGAAATTAATAAATCAAAGACTAAACCCCGACTACAGCTAAATAACACTCTAAAAAGATTAATTTGCAACACTTTCATTTTCCAATTTACTCTACAAAATAGGCCCTGATGTTTCAAATGCATCATACGGCCGTCTTTGGGTCAGTGACTTACATATGTATGTGTAGTTTCAATTCAACCGGTCAAGTAATTTCGGAGAACACTTTTTGGTAAGGAACCCTAAAAAAATAAAATTGACGTGATAATCATAATGCGATAATCATGCTTCTCGCACATGAGAAGAAAGCGAAACGTAACACATAAATAATACCATATCGTCCGCAAGATTTCTTAAGCATGTTGCTTTATTAACCAAAACATAATCACGAACTACGTACGTACACGAACAACCGTAATGGCAACATCGTTAAAATACTGTATTATTTCTTGAGGTATTGCAATAAACTATGTTATTTTACAAACGCGTGTGAAACATTAATAATCAATTCACATGTCGCATCACATCTCTGAATAAAAACAGGAACCCACTTAATATTTGGTTACAATAAAATTGTATTAAAAATGCTTAAATTCTTTAAAGTAAGCTCTTAATTTTATTTTGACATCATTTTATAATTTTAACCTATTTTATAAATGAGCTTTCAATTTAGATTATTTTACAAAATAATCTATAATCTATGTTATAAAAAAACAGTTCTTAACAAACATGTATTTATATATTGTTTAAGTTTTTCATTGAAATCTATAGATATTCATATTTTTTTATATTCTAGTTAATTAATCAGGCCAAAATGGCTGAAGGGTCTTGGATGAAATATGGGGCATTGATAGATTATAATCCATTATAGCACGTATACTATTTTATACGGAAGAAACAATGGTACGTATTAAATTTTTTTGAGTGTACTGTGATAGGTTACGCTGAAAAACACAATATTTTGCTGAAAAAAATGTTGGCAGCCGTGGGCGCGAGTGAAATAAGGCTATAATTTTCGCGGGCGAAGTCGCAGGATAACAGCTACTATTCTTCATACGAACACTGCGGCGTAATGTTTTACTGTGAAGACTAGCTATATTGGATATTAAAATATCCGCGGCTGCAAAAGATAAAACACGGTATATTAATGCTAGTGATACAATTGTTTTCATATCAGAATCGCCTACGGCTCATCGAGGCATGGTCAAGAAACGTGTTCTGTTCAGCCAAGCGTCGCGTTCTCTCCCTACGGATTCCGGCATAACGTTGGATTTATGAATATAGAATCCTCAAGAGAAATATGTAATAAGTAAATGAAGTTTAAACGAAATTATTATGAGCGAGACATTAAAATGAAACTTTATAATACACGTTCATCTAAATTATTTTGACATTCAATCCTTAGGAGTATTCATCAAAAATTTACCTTTCGATAAAATTGTTTATAATCACGGATAATATGCTTAAGTTTTATAGAAAGAAAACTGTGTAATGGGTTATAAAGTAACCAGAAACGTCGTTTAAAACAAGTAAGGGATTTTTTTGTTCCTCTCTAAAATAACATGTAATTATCTTCAACAACTTCCTCTAGTCGTTTATCGTATGTCATTGACTGGTACATCGACTGAGATGTGGCCTTCCAAGGTCTGACCGTAATTGTACGGTCAGACCTTGGAAGGCCACTTTGTTCTATACAACATTGATCGATAACGAACATTAATTCTGTTACAGTAAATAATGTATGCAGACCAGTTAGTCCATTGTGATTTGTACGAAATGATTTATAAGTTCATCCTTATAGTATTTATTAATTAAAGGTATTTATTTAGTGAAATTTAATAAGAACGTACAAGTACACAACACTGACCCGAAGCTATCCAATCGAAGTAGAATGCAACTGTTCAACTTCTTGTTAACGGTTCGAAATCGTTAATATTGTGCAAAAACTAGTAAGGTGTCGAGAGAGCTGGTTGTGAAGTTAGTAAAGTTGGAAACGGTATGCGAGTAACTCTTTCCATAAGCGTTTAGATACAACGTTACAATGGTTATAAACATCTTTTACTTTAACGCTAGTAAAAAGCTTCTAGTGGAAAAACAATATAGTTTTGATTGATGACCATAAAAGAACTTAATCATTATGTTCGCTATTACAGGTCATCGAACCTGGCGCTATAGCGTGCACCTGCTCTTGACTTGAGCCGAACGTCAACCGAAATCAAACGGATACTCTCAAGGCCAAGTAGCTTCCATTGTTCATAGAGTCAACAGCTTTTTTAATACTGATTACATTTTTCCACCGTTAAAATGCCAAAAGCTTCTAACGATTATATTGTGACATTAATTCAGAACAAATAATGTCATCCAACCAAATGTTAGAATCATAAATGCAGGATTAGAGCAATTTAAAGAATGAACTCTGAAACAACACAAAGAAAGATGTAATGATAGTCTGTAACTGTGAAAAAAAAAGAAAGTAACTCTCACAGAATCCGAATAAGTAATACCATCTGGTGACTAGCAAATAAGACGATATTTGCATGTTTTAAATTATAAATTCACATAAAACGTGACGTATTCGTGAAACAGGATCTTAGTTTCGATCAAGTCTAGCGCCAAAGGATGAAAAAGAAGAAAATCGGCATTATAAAACATACCGAAAAGTTTAAAAATGAAGTGAATTCCATATCTTCGCCGACATTAGTAAGAGTAAATAATGATCCCACAACGTAATGTAATTTAAATGCATTATACGTGCTTTTATACGTAATACGTGTAATAAGATAAAATGTACATTGACTAGAATCACTTTAAGTGCAGGGGTATGACTCAGGCTGTATGATTCCCCAGGCCTAATGATGTTTAAATAACATTAGAAGTTGTTACCATAGTGTACCGTTTAATGGTATTGTTATCAATTAACGATTAAAACTTGAAATTCTTTTCTTCTTGTTATTCTTTTACTGTTTTATAAAATGACTTTAAATGGGTTTTCAAAGTGATCTAACATACCTTCAGAAATCGTAGGCAGCACGTTGACAAAGTTGAGAATACCGACCCCTGTTAACTGACTCATTCACCGAAACATATGACAGGGACCAATTTCCAAGAACAGCTTACCATAACAGTATCAAAAACAATACCGAAACACTTGGCACTTTATCACGACATAGATAAAACTGTCCAAATTAAGTTTGCGCACAATAGATTCGCAGAAGTTGATACACTGAGCTCTATATGAACGAGGTTTCGTGTTAAGTGGTCACTGAATCATTGGTACGCGTTTTCCATAATACATGAAGGAAATAGAAAACACACGAGTGGATAATACAGCTAACGCTAACGACATGCGCCCGCGTCGAATCGTCAGAGTATACTGGTCTAACATACAAGGCAGTGCCAACGCCCGTTCACCAGTTCACCTCTTTATCTTCCGATGGCGACGGCGGCGCTACTCGCGGCTGCGCTTGCTCAACTGGTTACTCACTGCGAATGCACTGCCAGTATTAGTAAATTGTAAAAAGTCAAATGTTTAACAGACTTCAAATAGTTACAACGGTCACTGGTTTTCATAAAATCGCAGTCTCTATTTGAAAATAATAGTTTCGAATTCATATACGAGATTACTCATTTTAATAGTCATATAACGTTTTTTAAATTATTAAGTTATTTTTTTTTGCATTTTAAAAATTAACAAAAACAGATTGCAACTTTTTGAAAAATATAAATATACTTATTTAAAAAAAATTACCGCGATATACTGTTTAGATGTTATTTTAATTAAATACTTGCTGTTTCTCCGCGTCTTCGCCCGCATATATTATAATAGCGTATGCTTCCCGTAGGTGGGGGATTTTTTTTTCGGTTTGCGGTCCAGAAGTTTCAAGTATTCAATGCAACATTCATCAACGATACAACATTCAAAGCAAATAAACAATAAAATCTTTCCTTTTTATAATACAAGTATAGATTATTTGTACTTTCCGTTATATGACCCAATAAGAAAACCATTATAAACTGTAACGACCTCGGTAAATGCATCATTAATTTTCTTCAAATTATTATTTTATCTAATATATATTTAATATACATATTTTTTAAATAATAAAGAGGGAAATTTAATTGTTTGCTTGTTTATATCTATTGAATAGACTACGAAACTGTACCTATTTCAAAATTTATTATACCTACATGAAGCAACATCATAATCGACATACATAGGCTATTATTCACACGGGCAAAGTCGCGGGAACAGCTAGTTAGAATATGCGTAGGATAATTTCATTTTCAACATGGCGCTCGTGTCGTATTTGTACTTATAAATAAATCTATAAATCGATAAGCGAGCGCATCACAAAGGTCGTGTTAATTATTTATAACCAGATTGATATTAACATACACTTATGTAAAAGTGATAGCATAATCGAACAGTGATATTCAATTTATTTAAAAGCTACAGCTTCATCTTCTTGTTATTATTAATAAAAAAATAGCATTTTCCAGCAACTTCGCCTGGGTAAATTAAGGCGTTTGGCATCTTTGTATCGGTACAATAGTTTTTTAGCCTATTCAATGCATAAAAAAACAAACAAATATTTTACTTTTTATAATATTAGTATGTTGTTGTTTATGTTAAAGCTCGTAAAAATGAGGAACTACCACACAAACTTTCAACCCTTATTTCACCACTTATATGTTGAATTTCCAAAAATCCTTCTCTAACATATAATAATTTTGATTAAATGGACCCAAGGTCTAATTTCAAATAGATGATGATTCAGTGAATCAGATAAGTTTTTAATTTGTAATTTTTTTTTTAATCAATATGCTAAGTGCCTACTCTTTTGTTAGAGAAATTTCGTTTTTATAGTTTTGTTAAAATCATACCCGTAAATATTATCTATGCATTAGAATCAGTGTCAAAACCTACCTACGTCGCATGAATTATCGAAATATGCGTTACTTTGGTGTCACATTCATGTGTAAAATATACGAAAATTCATTTTCAGAGATACATAGTAGGCCTTCTGATTACCTGTGATGTGACTTTAGTTTACCGAACATAGTAATATTGCTTAAATAGTAAAAAATCTTTATAGATTTATTGTTTGGATACTATAAATAAGTAAGACTTGCTACAGATTCTTTCTTAAATAATTCAATATAAGACTTGGCTTCTTTTAAATCCTCGAAGATAGGTTAAATGAAATATCTAATAATACAACTTCCAAATATCCCATTTAATATTATATGAGATAACGCCTTTGATGTAAATGTAATAAACGACCAAAGAAAAATAATATAAAATCAGTACTTCTATATTCTTAGATTAGATTTCGAAGTTGACTGATACACATAAAAAGAATAAAATTGTACACGGGTTACATTCTAAATTAACTTATACTGAAAGTAAGACGAAAAATATAGTACAAGGAGAAGAAGAAATCATTATGAATGAAATTGACATCGGTGAATACAATTACATCCACAACAAGGTGAGATGAACGAATTTCGTAATGTCAAAGAGTTTTCATGTTGAAAGCGTGTCGCTTCGCAATTACCTTTGAAATGGTATCTACAGTGGTACCTTCACAAATGAGAATTAACTAAAGAAAATTGCCAACTTCCAAAATGTTCGTACCTTAATCAACGTAACAAATAAACGCTGTCAATCCACGGCGCCATTTATCGATTTTAAGCATTCTATGTTAAAGCCATTAAAGTTTCATGAGAGAGCTACTCACGGTGTATGTGGACCTTTTTCAAACAAATCGTGAGGCACCTTGCCTCGAGACGCCAAAACAATGTCCTATTACTGAGTTCTGTTTATTATTAACCTAAGCAACGTAGCGAGCGACGCTAATTCTGTTAAAACAAAGTTTTATACAATTCCGCAACACTATTCTATTCTACCAACTAAAATGAGCTCATAGATGAGAAATAATTATTGAGAAAAAATATAGTCTGCCATTAGTTAGGCAATAAAAAATAAATAAATTATTATTATCAATCGCCGACAAATACTTTAGTCCGATCTGTAATGAGTTCAGGTGTAAAATATTTGTAATATAAATCTTATCAAGCTACGATGATTAATGGATTAGGTACGCGAAACTAATCGATTAAGGCGAAATCTTCAATCCTTTTTATTACATTTAGTTTTAACCGTATTTGTATTTCAGTATTTTTTGGTATAATTTAAGTAAAAGAAATTTAGAAGCAGAAACTCATAATTTTATATCCATCGCCTGTGATTAACAGCATGTAAATAAATAGCGCTTAGTGATTTCCATTAAATTGATAAGATTATAAGACATGACTTATTAATAATAATAAAACTTACTTCGCTTAGTTGTGCCGTAGCCATCATCATGGCCATTATACATTCTATCTTCATCGTACTCGTAAACCTTGAAACTTTCGAAGGAATACAGCTTGACGGCTTTGAAGTACTAGTGTTCACAGAAACGAGCTATATGAAAGCTCTCCCCAATTCTATAATAATTGGAAGGGATTCGAGATGTTTGCGTCACTTCCGGGTAATATTCAGAATCGTAAGATCGTCACTGTCCACAAGATTACGAGATCCAATTGTGTGTATACAATTGTGTTTACTCACAAACATGGAGACGGATTAACGCACATCTCTGTTGTGGTTCGAACGAGCTAAAGTGTTGCTAGTCGAAAGTTATGATGTCGTAAGCAACTTCGCGATGTTTCGGATATGCCGCAACAGAGCGAGGTAGCGTCCTTGACGGCTTACGCGTGTCGTCTGGCTGGGTTGCAGTGAGAACCCGCCGCGCCGGCGCCCGGAACTGTGTCAGCCTGGGTGTTCACGTAAAATACAAATTTTCAGAAGGTACGCTTTGATCGCGACATGCAATATTTAATTAGGGCTTGATACTTCTTGATTGAGAAATTCGTGTGGATTTTTATGTAAGCACACGTGATAAAAATGACACAAACATAGTAAATGTGACGAGTACGTTAAAACCAAAAGGCTTTCCTTGCCTTACCTTCTACGTATCATCTATCAATCTACTACAAGACAGGAAGAAAATCATACCAGTTTAATGGTAAACAGTGCTCGTTTTTATGAATTGAACAACAATAAAGCCTTGAGATGGTGATATCAATCGACATTAGGTTGACGATGTCTCTCAATTGATTTCAACTATGTGGTAACAGAATTGTTACTTAATGGCTGACCGGAAGTAACGTGGTGATAAGACATCATGTTGAGATTGAATAGTCCTTCTGTTAACTAAATATTTGGTGGAAAACGGCGCCCGCCGCGCCATCCTAGCACCCCGACCTTTCATGAACACACCTCACGCTACGACGTACGTACGTCCGATGACACATCAATACAGATGTTGGGCTGTGCACGCACAGAAATTGACCACTGTCCAGACTTCAAAGCAAAGTCGGACACTTAATTACAGGGCCTCCACAATTCATACTGACTACGTATCCGAACGGCAGACTAATTGCGGCATTGTCTGATAACGATCTCTCATTGTTCATTATAAAAAACAATATGTAGAAGTAAATCTGGATTGTCTTTTTATGTAAAGACTTGAAAATTCTATTACAATTGCAAACACGTTTAGTGATTTAACATTATGATGTAAGTTATGTTATTACGTAACTTGCGTTATAATAGATAATGAATTATGCTCATGAATCTGAGTGTATCGATAATTCTGAAAAATAGCATAATATTTTCCCTGTTTTCCAATAAAGTGGACACATTTATAGCTTTAACGCTGAGAGGGAAACCGCTTCCATTGATCGGGAGCTAAATTGGGTGCCTTTCACGCCAATCTCTCTTTTTTGTTATATTTAGAAACATTCCTTAAAATAACTTAACACTACGAATTAACTTTCAGCTTTGGCCGACCAGAAGAAAAAGATAATATATTTTATTATGACTTTTAAGTTTATTAAAAGTCATAATAAAAAGTTTGCCCGCGACTTCGTTCGCTAGGGATAGTTACTTTGGGCATCGTTTTTAAAACGAATATTTATTAATTATATTGTATAAAAAAATCTGTCATTTCATGATTTTGTCTTTGACAATGACGACCTTCTTCGTTAAAAAATAGCGGCATATCATCATAAAGTCGGGCAGATCTCGATCGGCCCAATTCAACGATTGACCCACGAAATATAGAAAACGATTGGCCACGGTTTTTGACTATTCCTATTTAATAATAACCCTAAATAATGCCTTCTTATATTTAACACTTATTTAGCACCACTGATCAAATAAAACTACTTTTAAACGAGTTTTATCCGTTTAGAAATAGTTTTATTTAACCCTAGCAGAGTTATTAATAAACAAGGTTTAGCGATGGAGTAAATTTACGCTGAGA